TCACGCTCTTCACGCTCTTCACGTCGTTCATCCACCAGTCAAGCTGCAGCCCGAGCCAGAGCAGAAGCAGAAGCCGCCCGCACCAGAGCACAGTACGCGAAACGCCAGATTGACATGGAGGTTGAGAAGGCACGCATCGAGGCAACACTAAACGCTCTAAAGAAGGAGGGTGAGGCTGAAGCAGCGCTCGCCGCAGCTCATGTTCTGGAAGCGGCAGCCGATGAGGAGCATGACGCCGTTGACCTCACAGAACAAGGAGTCTCCTCTAAGACACCTCCTTCCATCAGACGTGCTCAAGATTATGTGAACGCTCACTTCGCTAATCGCAGCTTGGTAGTTAATGAAGACGGAAAGCCTGATACAGGACAACTGGTTGGTAATAACAACGATCAGCATCTACGACAGAGTCAACCACCAGTTGCCTCCTCTCCAGGTGAACATCTCACTGATTTTGTAGATCAGGAGCAACCAAAGTCCCCTCCTATAAACAGAAAAACTGACATTTCAATCCAGCCTAAACCTTCATTGCCTCCAAAGACTGAACTCTCAGATTTCACAGCCTATCTAGCACGCCGTGATCTGCTGACAGCGGGATTCAAGGTTTTCGACAACCGTCCTGAGTCTTACTTGTCCTGGAAGTCCATTTTCCGCAACGCCATAGAAGGCCTCAACCTCAAGTTCAGCGAAGAGCTTGACCTTCTCAACAAGTGGCTCAGCGGGGAGTCACTACAACATGCGCTGAGGATCAGGGCGGTCCATGTGAACAACCCACACGCAGGTCTTCAACGTTTGTGGCAACGTCTGGACAAAAGTTTTGGTTCTCCAGAGGTAGTTGAAGCGTCACTTTTCCAACGCTTACAGTCTTTTCCAAAAATATCTAATAAGGACACTAACTTATTGCAGGATCTTGCAGATCTCCTGTTGGAGTTAGAGTATGCACAAAGTGAAAATTATCTACCTGGCCTTAGCTTTCTGGACACCCCAAGGGGGATAAACCCGATAGTGGAAAAGCTCCCCTACGGACTCCAGGAGTCCTGGGTGAAACAGGGGACAAAATACAAAAAAGGACAACGGTGCAGTTTACCCACCTTTCTCATATTTTGTTCAGTTTATAAATGAATATGCAGAAATGAAAACAGATCCTAGCTTTATGTTACAAAGTTCAAACATAGTAGCTCCAAAACCTGATAAGCCATTGTTGAAACCAACTAAATACAGAGGTGCGGTTGCAGTGAACAGAACAGATATTAGTCAAACAAATGTCACAGCTCGAACGTCAGTTCTCAACCCAGACAGACAATGTCCTATTCACCACAAGCCCCATTCACTTGCCAAATGCAGGGATTTTAGGTCAAAAAAAACTAGATGAAAGGAAAAGCATCCTCAAAGAACATGCTATTTGTTATAAGTGTTGTTCTTCCACAGGTCACCGAGCTAACGATTGCAAAGCCATTATCCAATGCTCGGAATGTAACAGTGACGCTCACGTGTCTGCCATGCGTGCTGGCCCACCTCTGTGGGCAACCAAGGACTCTAACCTCCTGCCTCAAAGCCACGGCGGGAAGTCTGATCCTTCAAGCCCTGTAACCACAACTGCTTGCACAGAGGTGTGTGGCCCACGTCTAAAAGGCAAATCCTGCTCTAAGATTTGTTTAGTCGACGTGTATCCCCGCACAAATCCTGAAGAGAAAAAGAGGATGTACGCCATGTTGGATGATCAAAGCAACTCATCCTTAGCCAGGTCTGCTTTCTTCAACATGTTTAATGTGAAAGGCACTATGCTCCCATACACCATGAAAACATGTGCAGGTTTGTCAGAGGCTGGAGGACGCAGAGCAACTAATTTCGTTATTCAGGATGTAAATGGGGAAGTGTCCATGGTGCTGCCCACACTGACAGAATGTGATCACATTCCAGATAATAGAGATGAGATACCCACCAAGGAGGCTGTGTCGGCTCACCCTCATCTACACGCACTCGCTTCACAGATCCCTCCTCTGGACCCAGCCGCGGACATTCTCCTCCTCTTGGGCCTGGACATCATCCAAGCTCACAAGGTTCGCAGTCAGATAAATGGTCCAAACAGTGCACCTTATGCCCAACGCCTCGATCTGGGATGGGTGGTTGTAGGCGATGTCTGCCTCTCAGGTGCCCACAAACCCACAGTAAACTCTTTCAAGACAGACATTCTGAATAACGGGTGCCCTATCTCCCTTAGCCCCTGTGCAAGAAAAATCTATATAAAAGACAAATACACAGAAAGCTGTCCTAAATTCGAGAAGACACAAGCAGAAGTAGGCAGACACATTTTCCAGCAAACAGCAGATGATGACAAAACGGCTCTTTCAGTAGAAGATGCATTATTCCTGGAAATTATGCACAGAGACTTTACTAAAGATGAGGTGAACAATTGGGTAGCTCCACTCCCATTTCGCTCCCCCAGACAGCGTTTACCCAACAATAGGGACCAAGCCCTTAGTCGCTTAATGACGCTCCGCAAAACACTGAAAAACAAACCTGAAATGAAAGAACATTACATTGAGTTTTTAGACAAAACGTTCAGTAAGGGCCACGCTGAACCAGCTCCAGCTTTAGCTCCAGAACAAGAATGCTGGTATCTCCCTAGTTTTGGCATTTATCACCCTCAGAAGCCAGGAAAAATTAGGGTGGTTTTTGATTCAAGTGCACAATGTTTCTCTCAATGATGTGCTACTAAAAGGGCCAGATCTCAATAATACTCTTGTGGGAGTTCTGATGCGTTTCAGGTCCGACCCATACGCTGTCATGGCCGACGTGGAGCAAATGTTTTACAATTTTGTTGTCAGAGAAGACCACCGCAACTACCTTCGCTTCTTGTGGTTCAAAAACCATGATCTGGATGGAGAAGTACAGGAATTCAGGATGAGAGTCCACGTGTTCGGGAACTGCCCCTCCCCATCAGTGGCCATTTATGGACTGAAACGAACAGCGATGGAGGGAGAAAAAGAACACGGCAATGATGTAAGAGAGTTCATTGAACGCCACTATCCATTATGTGGATGATGGACTAAAATCATTTCGATCATGGTGCTGTTTTTTTTTTTCTACCAGCAGTTTTTTTCTCTTGTGCACTTGAACCATTTTTAAATAAATATACTGAGACAGTTTTTGCTGCAAATTGTGTAAGGTTCCAGCTTAACTCGAATCAAAGCCACAAGTGTCAGAGACTGGTGCTGTTATTGGGAGTTCAGCTCGGTGCATCAGCAGCCTTACCGTACACCACACGACGTTTGATCACAGTTTCGACAAAAGCAAGTATAGATTGTCGGGTGTGCAGTAAGTAGGAGTGGGAAAATGTAGCACTGTAAAATGTTCACATGATTAGGCATTGTAGTTAAGAATTGTTGTCTTCCCCAAAGAGCTGAAAAGACATTGTGTCTGCATTAATTTTTTAAATGTAGAAAGTTAGGGAGCCTTCAGTAGGAAGATACAAAAAGCTGTTTTTTACAGCAACATATAATTCTCCATTTATAGTATTTTCCATTTACCTGCTTCCACAGAGTCATTTACTTGGACACAGTCAGTACTTGTTTCAGCAAAATTGCCACCAGTCTGGAGTCAAGTCGATGCTTTTGTGCCTATCGTCTCTCTTTCTCCTCTCTGTCTCTGTTCTTTAAAAGTATTACTTTCAAACAGCAAACTGTATTTTTGCATTTTTTAAATTCAGGCTCACAGCTTCCATTGACATCCCCAAGTACTATTAAAGATTTAAATAAGCCTGTAGCCAAAAAAGTACTTTTCAGGGTAAAAGACAAGGCTTTCTGCGACAGTTAGTCCGGTTTGAAAAATTCCAAAATAACAACGTACTGTGGGATATAAAAAAGAACATTAAGTTTTAAAAAAAGCAAAAACTGAATCTGAGTTCAATGTTGCTACTGTCCACAACAAGGTTGTCTTATTTTGAAGTGCTGCAGTGCTATAGGGTTCTTGCTAAGCCAGCAAACATGGCAGAAACTCTAACGTCATCTCCAGGGTCATTCGACGTTCAGTCAGCTCTTTCTTAAAAATTGAGAAATATACATCAGATTATTGCAGTGAAAGAATTAAATTATAATTAAATTGTTATTTTATTTATTTTAGTGCATTTGCTTATCCACTAAAATAAATGCAATTAAATAAACTTCAAATTGGTGTCCACAACAACTTTTATTCTTTGACAACTTTTATTTTGAAACAACTTTTCAAATAGGACTAGATGTAGACAAAAAAATCACAGGAAATTCTGCTATATTTGCCCTAAAATGAATGTCACACCTTTTACATAGATAAAAAATTATATTATAAGCACAGCAGCAATGAAGCACAGTACTAAAAGACAAAGTATAGTTGATTTTAAATTCTACAGCTTAGACTAAGTTGAAAAGAAGATAAGCCTGTGAGTCAACCACAGCTCCGACAGAAGAGAATGGGGCACCTCGTACGACCGGCAGATAAAAGATGTGCTGCGGACAGACAGACAGACAGAAAGAAACGTGTCTATTAAAAACATCCATCATTGTCTAAAGATCTCCTTCATGGTTTGATCTCTCATAGTTTATTCAAAGATGGATTATTACAGGCACTGAAGGTGGGCTTACACTGAATAAATGTGATTAAACGATTTATATCTCTTGCTCTAACTTAGTTCTTGCAGCTCCGTCACCACATCTCTTCTCTTTAATGAGAACAATGTTTTTATAATGATTTTTAAATTACACTTTGGGATAATCAGCAGAATTATTGTCATAAATAAGCAAGATTTCAAAATCACAAAATAGCAGGTACTGTACGTTGTAGACATTTATTTTCTAAAATGTCCAATTTGTATTTCTTTTCTCCTTTTTTCTCTCCTAAAACTAATTGTGCCTTCATCTCCAACACAAAGCAATTAAATGAGGAAGAGGCTGAGGTTGGGAGATAATGGAAATTTATTCCACGCAGTAAATTGAGAATTACAAGTATATGCACTGTGCGAGAACGTGATGAAATAAAAATGGACATCTGCATTTTGGAAGTGAGTGCACAGTCACTTGAAGGACTGGATCTTACGCTCTAGTGATATACTGCTACTGTCAAGCCAACCCTCTGTTTTAACCTGTTTGAACAGCAGAAGACGCAGATCCAGCTCTTCTCCGCAAAAGCACCGTGTTTTCAGTTTACTCTTTTCAAACCTAGAAGAAAGTATGAAAAGACAAAAGGAAATGCAGCTCAAACATTACTAATCCATCAGATGCAGCATATATCCTTAAGCAACACACTCAAATACTGCACAAGCACAAGTACATCTGTTTAATGTAAACCCGCAAAGAATGCACACGCATGTACACACATTGGGCAATACATCACTATGCAAACAAAACAAGGATGTCCAGCCATGCATGTGCATTTAAATGAAGTGGCTCTCAGGCATGCACACAAACATACAGATCACTTAATATAAACTCTGCAACACGCACATAAACACAAGCTCGCAATAATACACAGTTAAGTACATAGACACACATCAGCTCATTTCTCTGGGAAATAAGATTGTGGAAGGTGTCACAGATGTCAGCAGTGACTGTCACGCCCCAGGGGATTCTGGGAAACGAGAGCGATAAATGAAAAAAAAAAAATTGGGGGAGTCTGACTTTTGCAGGGGAGAGGGAGATGTGAGTACAAGCCAAGGAGATGAAGGCGAAGGAGGAACAATCAATTCTCTGACACCTCTAAATGTGCACTTGATGATGCATACCTAAACAGGCCTGAAACGGTCCACAGGGAGAGTGAAAGGGAGTGAAAGAGGTGAAGGAGGAAAAGGTGGGTATAGAGAAAGTGAGAGACTAGATTAATGAAGAGAAATTGGGAAGGAAGGAGATAAAGGAAGAACTAAGTTGGAGAGATTGTTACATACGTCCATTTGAGCCTTAAATGGCACTTGGTCCTCAAAGGACTCGGATCTAAGTGAAGCGGTCAGCCTTGTAGGTTGTTCCTGGGTCTGTAGAGAATGAAGAGGGGGAGAGGAGTTGCATGAAGATGAGAGGGAGGTGAAGGAGCGGCCACAGATTGGCCGTGGGACTCGCAAGTGCTCTCACCCTAACCACAGTCCATTTACCGCAAACCCTCAAAAAGCTTTTGGTTAATCTGCATAAAGACTGAGATAAGAAACCTCACGATTATCTTCAGGGCATTTTCTACACTTTAGAAAGAGAAAGGCAATGTAATGATAATAAGTCACCTGAGTTAATTAGAAACATGCATGCAAAATCTGGCCGACTAAGGAAGAATTAATGTGCAATAGTCTTTAAAATGAGATGAGTGAACCTTTGTGTAACAAGTAAAACCTCTGTTGAGTGGATGATGGCTGTAATAATGTACTTTTTTAAGTACTCAATGGAATGTGTACCTGCCCTGTGACCTTGGGGTATGAACATGAGACCTAACAGAGTGTCCAGCCAAAAGGAAACCACATCACCAGTGGTTTCCTTTGGGTTGAACATTTTTTGAGTGTCCTGATTCTTGATTAGGAAATTTGTTGGGTGACGTCTTGGACTCTGTTTTGTTCATCGGGGTCAACCATGAGCAGAGTCTACAGTGTTTAGATCAGAATCAGCATGGCAAAGACTTCATTCCGGCCCACTGGATGGCTTTGGAAAACATGACAGAGAGCATCAATTTTGGAATTTTAACAGTATTTTTAAAGGTTTTAGTTTTTCCTGCCCATAAAAACCTCCCTCATGGTCATTCACAACACACCAATGTAATTCAGTTATACATTTTTGTGATTTTGAACAATACTTTTTCCAACCAAAGTTCAGAGGCAGATTTCTTTCATTTACTAGAGCAGCATTTCTTTACCATGTAGAAAAACGTAATGTGGAAATTGCTCTTCTTTGTCTTATATTAAGATAACTCATTAAATGCATAGTGAAACTTTTTACACTGATGGAAATTAAAGTTTCAACGCTCTGGCCCACTTCATGCCATAACATAAAGTGGGCTGTATGTTGCCTGTGATATAAAATGAGTTTGGCATCCCTGGTGTAGGTGACACATATAGCATACAAAGTAACAAGCAAAACAAATTGTGCTGTTAAAAGATAACCAATGTTATTCTCCTCATGTGGTTTATTAGTAAAACTGTACTTGTTGCTAAGCTGTTTAAGGCAGGACTGCACTATAATACGATCAACTCATAGTTCTGCGTATTTTAAGAATACATAAAATCATAAAGAAACCCGGGTGGAAAAGACTCACACTAGAATATGTGGAATGA